TTGAATGTGAGGAATGGAGGTAGAAAGTTGAGTAAGAATTACTTATGCTTGATTGATAGATTGAAAGAGAAAGAAATACAGGATAAGAGAGGTTATTAAAACCAATAGATTAGGGAATGTAAAAACTACTTAATTCGTATAAGAGTAGGCTTTAGGTCGACCAAAAGAAGATTATTTAACTTAATAGCTATTTGATAATTGCAAAGACATTAATATTCACTCAGCAGTTGTATTCAGCTCGTTTATCCAATCAGACCTACGCGATAACACAATCTCAGTTCTGCTTGGATGGTGGTTATGCATATTCTGATTTGCATGCACACAGACACAGACACACAAAACACACTAGTATACATAGCCAGAATGATGTGTAGAAGAGCTAACCGAATTATTATATATCTATATATGTGCACACAGTTTCGTGTGATATAGCCGGATAGTCTTCTCGACTTAGTGCCAACTTGAGCCTTTTGGAAGAATGAATTCCAGCTCTGAGGATATTCGTCTTATGCTGCATTACAAGCACAGAACAACAGGAACCAGCCGTAGTCTTCTGGGCCGATGGACCAATTAATTTATTCAACATGCACTTTCTCCCAAAATGAAAATCTCCCCACCAAGCTGACTATGACTGTATTTATGGGCAAAGTGTCACCTGGAAAAACGGATCTTGCGGCAGACGGATGGCTAAAAAGCGCCAAGCCAATTGTCTGCCGGGCACAGCAGAGCGGAAGACCTTGGCGCAGGAGCACGGCACAGCAGCTCCGTACTGGTGTTGCACCAACAGTCGGTCGTGCAGCACAAATTCGCGCTCCACCGAACAGACGTCAAGCAGACCCAGAAACTGACTGGCTCCGCTGCCAGGCCGACCGTCACCAGTCAGCGTCGCCACCGTCTCCTGCTGGCTGCCAGCTCGAGCTCTGCTGCCTGGTCGGCTCGACAGTTGAGCCCTGCCAAACCGGCTTACGTCGACGTCGACCTCTTCGTCGTCGAAGCTCGTCTCGCCGATCAACCCGGCGCCAAGAGGGTGGCTGGAGAGAGGTTGGCGCGCCTCCGCTGCCGCCAGCCATTGGGCTGCAGCTGAGCTCGGTCCGGATGGTAGAGGTCTCGGCTCAGGCATTAGACTACCAGGACCGGCCGGAAGTCGAGGCAGAGGTATGAACGGAGCCTGAACCGAGGACGATGACAAGACAGAATCAGAGCATAGTTACCTCGAGTGACGACACAT